GTGTGTGTGTGTGTGTGTGTGTGTGTGTATGTATACAGATATATTTTGTTTATGTGTTGCTAAGGATCAAAGCCAGGGCCTCGCATGTGCTAGCACCATGTAAAAATAAATAAAATAAAATAAAGGTATTGGTCCATTTTAAACTAAAAAAAAAAAAAAGTTAAAAATAATAAGTTAAGGTCCGTCTTTCATTCCCTGTTTGTTTCCTTCTACCTGTCCTCATTTCTTCTCTCCTGCCTCCGAAGGCCCACTCATTATCCTCTCGCTGAATGACTGCTCAGCCACTAGACTTGGCACAAGAGAATGGGGAGACTTTGGAGGGGAAAACCACGGTGTGGGACGGTTGGGAAGAGAAGGTGCAGAAATTGCCTGCTGCCTGTGACCACTGGTCCGGTTGGGTCAGCAGAGGTAGGTGGAAGAATCCAGGCAAAGGTCAAGAACGGAGCTTCAGTGCAGCCGAGGTGGGGAGGCGGCTGGATCTGGCCTAACCTTTCTCCCCACCGACTCCCAGGGCCACGGAGTTGCTGGGGGCTGAGTCCCTCAATAGCAGGAGCCTGTTGTCGCCGCCACGGGTCCGCATTTAGCCTGCAGAGGAAGAGCGAGGCCCGTGTAACCGGCCAAGGAAAAAGACCGTGACCACAGGCAGTCACATAAAGGACGTGCCCACTCCCTACCTGTGCCCCCAAGTGGCGCGATCGCGAGAGGAAAAGCGCGGGCTAGTGAGCTGGAAGACCACGCCCCTCCCTTAAAGGTACAAATCGAGACTGTTCTGGGCGGGGTACTTGGGAGCAGTAGATAGAATCTGACTTGACTATGAGGTGGACTTTTAAATTCAGGCAGTTTCAAATCTTAAGAACTGGAACGAACAGCTTTAATAACGGAGTGACTCAAAAGTTAGGAACTCAGCCTGCGACAGCATGGGGGAGCCTGGCCCCTAGCGGGGGAGGAGAGGTTGCACGGGTTGGGTTGCTCTGCCCATCTCCCCGCAGCCCCAGGGCATGTTATCCTCTAGGGCTCTTGGAGGTAACTCAAGTTCAGTGTCTACAACAGCAAGGAGGAGACTGGATGCATGCCTCCGAGTTTGCCTGGTGCCACGCAAGTTGAAGGTGTGGCAGCCACCTGGGGGAGCCTTCTCTGGGAACTAGGAGGCTGGGGCCCTCTAAGCAAGTCACCTGCCTGGTCCAGGATTTAGGGCACCAGGTGAGCTGGTTCTCTACCTTAGGAAAGCCGCCTTGGGCTAACACTGTGCAGAGGGTGGAGAGAGCTCTGACCAGCACAGGAAAGAAAATCAGAGGCCTGGGTTATGTGCCTGCCAAGCTAGTAACCTGAGCCCTTGCCCCAGCAGGTTTGACAGCTCAGGAGTTGGTAGGGGGTAAGTGTAAGTGTGTGTGTATGTGACTGACAAGCAGATCGTTCTGGTCTAATGCTCTTGGCAGGAGCAGCCTTGTGGGAAAGGATTGAAAGAACACAAACATGAGCCCTTCCCCCAGTCTCCTCTCCCTTCAAGCTCTGCCACCGGAATACCCAATCCTCTGCCCACATTGCTTAGGGATGAGCCTGTTCCCCAGGAAAGGGAAAGGCAAAGGCACCCTCAGGCCAGCCTTGGTGGCAGTCCCTCAAGTCTGACCCGATCTTTCTGACGATTTGTCCTGCCCTTGGATGCAGAGGTTCATCCAACAGCATCACCTCTGGGACCCTGGCATCTCAAACCCCTGCTCAAGAAAACACAGCTGCAGGCTGAAGGATGGGGCTGTAGAAAAAGGGGATTCGTGGTGGGTTTTCGGTTAGGAAAGTGTCTGGCACTAACTCTTGCCTCTTGAGTTCTGAAGGTTCACACCTCCTGGCTCTCCTTTCTCCCTGGTCACTCTTTCTCAATTTCCCTCATTGTCTCCTCCTTTCCTCCCATTTCTTCTAAGTAAGGGTTAGGGATTTTTCTCCTAAGCAAAATGGGAGTTTGCGTGACTCATTCCAGACCATTCTCTCTGTACAGTCTGTGCAGGGGACTCCTCCTTTCTCATTCTCTGAAGTATCTCTACATACTAATGACTCTTAAACTCATGATCTCTAGCCCCAAACTCTAGTCTTCTATATCCACCTGACTACTCTAGACCTTTGTTTCTCATGAACACCTCAAACTCGATATCCTTTAAACTGAACTTGTACATGTCCTCTAGTAAATCCTACTGATTCTAGTCCCAAAATATATATCAAATGTTTTTACCTTTTCTCCATCTCTTCTACTTCCTCCCTCACCTAAACCAACAGTATCCCTCCCACTAAACTGGCCCTGCCCACTTCTTTCCTGACACTGTCTCTTAAATTGACCCTCAATTCATTGTTACTACAACAACCTGAGTGATCTGGTTAAACTACTAATCAAATCATTTTAGTTTCCTAGTTAAACCTCTCAATGGCTGCTTATTGTATTCAGAATGAAATCTAATACTGTGGATGCCTATGAGGCCCTTAGCAACCTGGCCTGTTATCAGCCTGGCCCTTAGCAATCTACCTGTGTTAGCCTGTAATGCTGCTCAGCCATGTTTCTATTTCTTCTCTCCTTCTAGGCACATGGGATGACCATACTTCCTCTTACAGACATGACTGTTTAGGACAGTGAAGTGTGAGCAAAAGTGATTTGAGAGCCAGTATATGACTTTTATGCACTTGCTCCTTCTGCTATGCTGATTAGGGAAACCATTGATATGGTGGTGCCAGAAAAGTAGAGATACAATGTGGAAATGTGAGTTGCTGATAACACTGTACATGGAGAAAAGCTGCCCTGGAAGTTTGCCTACTGCATATAGTAGACTTTTCATAAGTGAAAAATATGTTTATATTGTGAGATTTGGGGTTGCTTGTTACTGAAGCAAAACATAGCCTGTCTTGATTGATACATTGCCTTAGCATCTGTTCCTGCCCTTGTTTACTGTACTAGAATCACACTAGCCTTCTTTCAGCTCCTCAAACAAAGCAGGATCTTTTGTCCTTCAGGGTCATTACACATCCTGTTCTTTCTCCTTAGAATGATCTTACTTCTACTAGTTGTTCCACTTTTACTCCTAACCGAGAATTCATTAAAGAAAAAATAATCAAATCCTGAAAGAATCTATAAATTAAGGGGAATAGAGAGATTGGTGCCATTGAGCAGGAGGGTAAGAATGGGCATGGTTTTGTGCCACAGTCTGGCTGGACACAAAATAACCGAGCCACCACATAGCCTTGTAGATTCCAACAGCAACTCTTTATTCCCGAACTCTCACCGACACTCTCCCACACTTTTCTTGAACCCACTGCCTCCACTCGGCTGCGCACCACTTCTCTCAGAACCCCGCGAGAACTCAAAGGAACTCCAAAGGAGCGGGCGCCTGAGGCAGCAGGATACGCCCTAATCCCAGCAGGATCCACTCTAAACCCGGAGCCACCCTAATCTCTGAGCAGGGTCACCTTTCAACCCAAAATGCCATGTGTCATTCCTACTTGGCTATGGCTCTCAGCAGTTTTGATTTTCTAACTCATTCATTTGAACATTTACCAAACACCCTCTCCATGTGCTGGAGCAATAAGAAAAAATGAGGCATTGTTCTTGACCTAAAGGAGCTCATAGACTTCTATGAGCTAGGACATCCCAAAACTATAGGAAGAATGGGGGAGGAGACACAGGAAATCACTGCTAATTGTCACGAATGCTGAAGAAGTAAAAGAGAAGAAAATTTTTAAAGAAGTCATTGAATTTGGGCAGAAGCTCATGGCTAAAGATCTTCAGAACAGAAGCAGTCTGCAGGAGGTTGATAGCTGAGAGAGAAGTGAAGAGGGAGATGTAATGAACTTAAAATAATAACCACTGCCTCTTATTGAGAATGCCAGGAACTTTTGCACACATTATTTTCTTTCTTTCTTTTTTGGGGGGTACCGGGGATTGAACTCGGGGGCACTTGACCACTGAGCCACATCTCCAGCCCTATTTTGAATTTGTTTAGAGACAGGGTCTCACTGAGTTGCTTAGCACCTTGCTTAAGCTGAGGCTGGCTTTGAACTCACGATTCTCCTGCCTCAGCTTCCCAAGCCACTGGGGTTACAGGCGTGTGCCATCATGCCCAGCTGAACACATTATTTTCAATCTTTCAAAAGTGGGCATTTTCTCTCTTATTTTTACAGAAACTGAAACTGAGAGATTTAAGTGGTCCAAATCCTACATCAAGAGCAGCTGGATTAAAACCCAGGTGTGCTGACTCCACATCCATGAAGTCTCCATCATCCTGTATGCAGGACGGAGGTGTCCTGCACGTACTGCCAGATCTGCAGGAGCCTTTGGAACAATGAGGAGAGAGAGAAATGAAAAAACAACAAACAAACAAAAAAACTCAGAGAGGTTGCCTGTGAGACCCTTTAAAAAACAAAAGCAAAGAACAAAGTTTTTTGGTTTTGGTTTTTAAAAGAATGCTTCCTGGGCTGGGGCTGTAGCTTAGTGGTAGAGCACTTGCCTGGCATGTGTGAGGCACTGAGTTCTATCCTCAGCACCACATAGAAATGAAGAAATAAAATGGGGCATTCTGTCCATCTACAACTACAAAAAAATTTTAAAACGAAAGAATGTTTCCTTCATTTTCATTAGAGTATAAGAAACAACTGTATCTTATTAATCGTCCACGAAAGGAATCACAATGAATTCTCAAATGGGAGTACATTTCTGGACAGAGGTATCCGAGCAGATGCATAGAGAGAGAATCTGAGATAAAAGAGAAAGGCACCTTAGGAGTGTTTAAATGTCATTGCTAAAGTTAAACAGTGACCATTCACATCACCCACAGCACCTACTTGACTCTTGGGTTTAAAAACACGAATTGGATCTAAGGAAGGACACGAGGGATCCAAGTTAGGCTAAAAATGGGGCAGACTGTGGAAAAATTTTCCAAGAAAGAGTATTTATTTTTTTTGTTGTTTTTTTCTTGGTCTTCTATCACTATATATTTTCAATGATTGGAAGTTTTTAATATGCCGTTAATTTGTAAGGAGAGAAGAGAGAAAGATGAAAGGAAAAAAGGAAGAGAGGAAAGGATGGAAGGAGCTTAGTCTGTGACGAGGCTGGCATGTCTCAGTGACAGGTGACAGATGGCCACCTTTCCTGTGGACCCCTTAAACATACAAAATAGTCAGTTTGGCCCTGATCTGACCCTGTTTACTCAGGGTGACCATGTCCTATGGGAGGCTACAAATGAAATTGTGTGGTTGCTACAAATGGGTGTAATGACTTCTAAGTGACACAGCCCCCAAGATATAGCAGCCAGGAAAAGATTCTGAACTCTCAGACTCGTATTATTCAGAATATATTGAGGGAGGACTCAGAAAATATTGAGAACAAGATTGTCTATGCCCCTTGAGCCCTGGGCAATACTCAGGTACTCCATTGGCTAAAGTCCCCACTCTGTTTCAGAATTCTCCTCTTTCAGGGTGTCCTACTGGATCCCCCAAAGAATGGACATCCAGGGCTCCATAGTGAACTCTTCTTACAGAAGCAGATGCTTGATCCGACAGTACTATCTGATCCTAAATGGTGAGCAATCTGACCTCTTGGTGTTTTGAAGGTCAAGATCATTCATGTTCCCACTATTCATTTCCCACAGTTCTTACATTTGGGATAGTCCAGCTGTTGCTGGGAGCTAGAGACTCTTCCTTGCTGGCTTTTTGATGAGACAGATCTGTGTGGCTCAGCAGAAAACTTCAGGTTGGGCCATATAAGCCCAGGTTCCGGGCAGCTTCGGAAATCCTGGGTGTTTTCCTCCGGGGAAATGGATAGTAAGCAGGTCTGCCAGACCTGTGGGAGTCCTTTATGGAAGGAAGAAACTGAATGTTGGTTTTTAAGCTGGGTCCCACGATCTTTGTTAGGGAACCGCCCACCTGACATTGACCCTGGGCTGCCTCTGGGAGTTTGGTTCCTGGCAGAGTCGGGTGACGGTTTTCAAACAAGTGTGGGTCTCCTTCTGGACGGAGCCTTTGGTCTGATCCCACAGGCTGGCCCTTGGGCTTCACTTGACTGGTTTCATGGTGGAAGGTTTGGACTAAGCGATGCATCTCTAGATGCGTGTGCCATGGAGACTCAGGAGTCTGAAGACCGCCTCGGTCGGCTTCTTCCAGAACCCCCTCCACCTTAGAATCTGCCTCTTCCAGAGATAGGGAGCTCCTTGCCTCCTTGTTAATCCAAACAGGGCTGATCATGGATTCAGCAGAATTATGCGTGTGTCCTCCTGAGAAAAGAAGGCGTCAGCAGCGTCATCAAAGGAAGATACACAGGCAGCTCTCTCATTTAGGGGGCTCAGAGCTTTCAGGATAAAGAAAGGCCATACCCAGAATGTCCAGTGCACGTGTGCAGATACACAGAGACACACATGGTCCCACTTGCTCAGGCACACATGTACCCCCCACCCAAGGCACACATACTCACATACAATTACATTGTTATTCAATAAATAGTCATTGAGGACTGAATATGTGCCAGGCCTCATTTTTTCTAGGTCCCAGGAATATAGCATGGGACATTGAGACAAAAACCCACACCTTCATCTGGATTTGTCCTTGAAAAGCAGAAAGACAATAAGCAAATTAATTATGGAAAAATTCAAGCATAGTGGAGGGTTAAAAGTGAAGGGTGTGAGCTCTGGGAAGAGATGGGAATCAGCATTTGAGGTCAGAAAAATAGTAGGAGCAAGAGATAACACATACGCTGTTGTAATTTGGCTTTGGAGTGTCCTCCAAATGTCCCTGTGTTAGAGGGTTGGCTCCCAACCTGGGGTGCTATCGGAAGATGGTGGAATCTTTAAAAGGTGAAGCACTTTTAAAGGAAGGAAGTTGGGTCATTGAGCTGCCCTTGAAGGGACTACTGGGGCAGCAGCTTCTTTCTCTCTTTTGGTTTACCGGCTACCATTAAGTGAGTAACCTTTTCCACCACACACTTCCATCATGATGTACTATATTGCCACAGGTCCAAAGCAATGACTGTGGATTGAAACCTATGAAACTGTGAGCCAAAATAAGTCTTTCCTCCTTTTAAGTTGATTTTTCTCAGGCATTTTTGTCATAGTAGCAGCACACTGACTCACACACTCACATGCATGTAGATACATATACACTCTCCATGGGAAAAGTTTGTTTCTATTTATTTTTTTATTTTTTTACAGTGCTAGGGATCAAATCCAGGGCCTTGTACTTGCTAGACAAGTACTCTACCACTGAGGTACAACCCAGTCCTTTTTATTTTGAGTCAGAGTCTCACTAAGTTGCCCAGGCTGGCCTGGAACTTGTGATCCTCCTGCCTTAGCATCCCAAGTAGCTGGTATTACAGGTGTGTACCACCATGTCTGATAGAAATTTATGGGGTTTGTATCTTTCCTGAGATTCTGATAATGAGTTTACAGAGGAAGGAGGAGCCATGTTCTGAAGTACCTCCTTGTAGAGAACTGGCAATTGTCCTTCTCCTAGACTACAGACACTGTTTTGGGAAGACATCTGAGCAGCTTTGCTTTTCCAAACTGGTTTCAGAGGTGAGGATGCAGACTGATGTCTCCCTTCTTTCTCAGGAATATTACTATTACTTTTTTTGGGTGGAGGCAGTTACTAGGGATTGAACCCAGGGGCACTTAAACACTGAGCCACATCCCCAGCCTGTTTTTGTATTTTATTTACAGACAGGGTCTCAGTGAGTTGCTTAGAGCCTTGATAAATTGCTGAGGCTGGCTTTGAACTCCTCCTGCCTTATCCTCCTGAGCTGCTGGGATTACAGGCATGTGCCACCCCACTTGGCCACTATTACTTCCCCCCCCCCCACACACACACCATTTTGTTGAAAATGGTAATTCCTTGTGAACTCTCTCTGGCCACGGGGATTGAAGGGACGGCAGAAAGGCATTTTCTTATAGAAAGCTAGTCAGTGACTGGTCTGGGGGTCCTCTGAGATGTCAGTTAAGTTTTCTTGAGTGTCCTGGCCCCTCTTACCTTAAAGAGGCCCCAAAGATGACAAAGTACACAGCAAGAGTGGGGAGGAGATTGTGTTGGAGGAAGAAAATCAGAAGGAAACCCTTGAGCCCCGATTCTAGGAGTCCCAAAGAAATGGAAGGAACAGAAGATCAAAGGCGTCCATCTCTATAGAAGCCACAGTCCTGCCTACAGAATTCTATTTAGAGACAGGGTCTCACTGAGTTGCTTAGTGCCTCGCCACTGCTGAGGCTGGCTTTGAACTCACAACCTCCTGCCTCAGCCCCCCTGAGCCTCTGGGATTACAGGCATGTGCCACAGCAGCTGCACTATATTCTTAAAGTGACAAGCACGAAAACCTTTACAGATATTCTGAAGCCTATGTGCTTATGGGAGAACAAGGAAGGACAGGGATATAATGGGAGAAGCTAGGAACTGGTCTCCAGCAGGAAAGGGCCCACGGTAGACAGGCAGGTCTTCAGAGGAGGACCTGCTGAACTGTCCGTCCCAGCCTGCAGTCCAAAGTGGACAAAGGAGAGAATGTAGCATAGCCAAACCCCTGGACTTGACCCCAGAGCAGAACCTTTGTTGCAATTTCCCCCATACTTTGGAAATAGTGCTGCTTCTGCTCTGTCCAAGCAAAAAAGAATTAAGGCAATTGAAGAGCATAGAACAATTTCATACCATTTTTGTTCTTTAAATCTGTTTTGTTTTGTTTGGATCTGCAGGGGAGTGGGAATGGCAAACTTGGGCTCTGCTCTAAGACCTCATGCATGACCGCCACTTCATTATATAGCACGCTACCTGTCACAATTATATAAAGATTGTAGCACCACAAACTGCTACAAGTGTCCTGAGAGACCCTGACCTGCCTGGGGGACCTGAGCACTCTTTGCATTAACCTGCCATGAAGTATCACATGGTCGTGTTGGAAAAGGAAGTGTTGTTACCAAGTGCAGGAGAAAGGACCAGCAGGGAGGGTGGGCTGGGGAGGGTGGATTCTATGGGAAATGACAAGTATGAGGTGTTTTTAATATTTTTGAATCATGCCCTTAAGAAATTGGATTTGTGAGTCTGAATTGCAGGTGTGTTAAACACGGTTTTCATTGCATGTGGGTGTAATTTTGTAAATGTCTGCTGAATGCCTGAAGGTATACTCCTGAGAGTGCGATAGGGCATTAGAATTTTGCAGCTTATGCCCTGCTGAGGTGGGGCCTTTGGCTGTGCCAGTTCCATCCAGATGGATCCCACTGGTTGGCAACAGCCCGAGTAATGAGAGCTGGGCTCCTTCCATTCAGAGGTGCCCTATTTGTCTCCCAAAGCTTTCCTTTGGTGGCCTTTTGCAGAGCCTTCTTTTGAAGGGCACTTCCTGCCCTGGACAATGAGGTCCCTCTGGGCCCTGATTCCATCTTAGGCTGACTTGACAAAAGGCAGACCACTCCAGCTTTGTTTTGTTCTCCTTTCTTTCTCCCCACTGAACTGAACTAATACCTGCAGAAACTCTGAGGGTGTGACTTTGACCTCTCGGAGGCTCTTCCCTCCTCCCTTGGCCTGTTCCACTCTGTTGGAGGATAAGGGCTGGGATTTATCAACCACTTACTTTCTGAGCCTCTGTGTCCTTAACTTCATCCTGGAATGAAATCTGAGTTCCTAAAGGGGCTGGGGGTCTCCCCATGAGGAGGGGGCTTTGTGCCTGATCATACTGCCCTGGCTGCTGTTTGAGGCTAGATGAGCCTGGGGTGCTTCATGGACCCCGAGTCCTGTACTTCCTCTGGCCCAGGATTGTGGGAATACCATGTTTTCTTTCTCCAGAGCCAGTTTCTTGGGTCTGCAGTTGGTGCCTCTGTTAAATCCAGGCAGGAAGCAGAGTGTCTGTCACCCCAGCTGGCTGAGCAAGGGGGCAAACCTGGTTCACCAGGCTGACCAGTCTAGCAAGCTCAGTACCCAGGTGCACAGGCCAGGAACTGCTCTACTGGTCAGATGCCTGGCTGAGGCCCTTGGCTTACTTGGGCTGGGGGAAGACGGTGTGGAGCTGTCCTGCCCAGGTCTCCCCTGATCTGGGTCTGACTGGACCAGCAGCAACTCTGCTGTTCTCTAGCAAGAGACTGGCAGAGCAGGGCCCTGCCCTCCATTTTGCCCACAGATAAGTCCTCCTCCCCCAGCACTTGCCCAGCTTTACCTTTGGGGAGCACCAGGAGGTGGATCTGGGTCCTCTGCTGCCTCTTCAGGCCTTCATACTGGGCTCGCAGGAGCTGGATGCTGATGGGGGGTCCTTGCCCCGGGGCCTGAGTGCAAGAGGAGCCTTCAGCCATGAAGCAGGACCCCGGGTGCCCAAAGCCAGGCAGGGCAGGCCACGGGCAGGCCAATCCCTTCATCCGGATCCGGGAGAAAAACAAACACTGAGGGGTGAGGCAGGGGGAAGGGGAGGGGGAGAGAGGGAGGGGGATAGGCAGAGGGGGGCAGTGGGTGCAAAGGGAGGGTGGAGAGCAGAGCAGGAAGTGAGGAGAAAAGGTGGAAGGAGAAAGGGGAGGAGAGAAATGAAGGGCAGGGAAAGGTGGGGGGAAACTGAAGGGAGGGGAGAAGGAGGGAGGTTGGAGGTGGGAAGCAAGAGGAGAAAGAGAAGTCCTAGGGAGAAGGAAGATTTGGAGAGGGGAAAGGAAAGGGCAGCAGAAGGGGAAAAGAAAGGAGGAGGAAGGAGGTGATGGTGACAAGGAGGGATTGATGGGACGAGAGAAGAGCAAGAAGATGGTGCAGGCGGGAACAGGGACGAGGGGTGGGGGCGGAAGGGAAAGGCAAGCTCAGCTGCTGGGGTCCTCTGTGAGGCCCAGGAGGTCTCTTACTCCAAGTCCTCCACTGCTTGATCCTGAAGTTTAGAATCCAATTCCAAGAGCTATAGGGAGCTCCCCCATTTCCTGCAGCGCTGGAGCCCGAGCTGAGGAACGCAGGTGCCTGCCCAGCTCACACACCTCAGGCTGGACACTGTTGGCTCATCAAAACCTGCTGGCTCCGTTTGTAGCTGTCAAAAGCAACACCGCACCGGGCGCACTGGTGCACTCCTGTAATCTCAGCCTCTCTGGAGGCTGAGGCAGGAGGATCAGGAATTCAAAGCCAGCCTCAGCAACAGCGAGGTGCTAAGCAACTCAGGGAGACCCTGTCTCTAAATAAAATACAAAATAGGGCTGAGGATGTGGCTCAGTGGTGGGGTGACCCTGAGTTCAATCCCCGGTACCAAAAAAAAAAAAAATTAAAAAGCAACTCGGCAGCAGCCCCATAGAGCTGGTGCTGGAGACACTGCACTGTGGCCGTGCATTAGGGGAATTCACAGCAAAGACCAACATTAAGATCTCCTGTCAGATCCTGACACACACACCCTGGGCAAAAGCCCAGCCCCAAAGTCTGCCATGGGACAGAGCCCAGGGGAGCCCTGGCCTTGAGCCAGCCCCACCCCTTTGACATTCGATGCAGCCTCTGTGGTCTTGGTATTTGCCAACCAAGCGGTACGTTGGTGTTTCTCTCACCCACAGCCAGGTGCCACCTCACGCTCTGCTTGCCAGCTCCACCATCTCTACATCCCCTTCGAATGCCAGATGGCCCCTCTGTGTTACCGCAGCTGTGATCTATCCTGTTCCACTTGGTCAACTAAGTCCTTTTCTGTCTTCTTCTAATATGATGCTCACAGATTGCCAGTTACCCAATATCCTTGCAGAGACAAGGCAAAGGGAACAGGACACTTTCATGTTCAGAGATGAGACAGACAGGATCCAGCAGGGACCGGGGAGATGGAGGGCAAATCTTCATTGGATGACATATTTGTTTCCTGGGGCTGTCATAACAAAGGCCCACAACCTGGGTGGCTTTAGCAATAGATTTTTCTTTTTGTCCCACAGTTCTGGAGGCTACAAGTCTAAGATCAAGGCGTCAGCAGGTTCAGTTCCTTCTGGGGGCTGTGAGGGAGACTCGGTTCTGTGCCTCTTACTTCAGGTGGTGGACTGCCAGTCCTTGGGGTTGTTGACTTATAAAAGAATCACCTGATCTTTGTCTTCACATGATGTTCTCCCTGCATGTCTTAGTGTCCCAATTTCTCTTTTTTATAAGGTCACCAGTCATTGGATTAGGGCCCAACTTAATGACCTCATCTTAACTTAGAACTAATGAAATTTACAATGAACTTATTTCCAAATAAGGTCATGCTGTGGGATTCCAGGCTTAGGAATTCAACATGTGAACCAGGGGGACACAATTTGACTCATGTTAGGTAGAGGGATGACAGTCCCTTCACGGAGATAGACTCAGGGGAGGAGCAGGTTAGGGGAAGCAAGAAGAAGGGGGTTTGTTTTAGATGGTATATTTGAGGTGCCTATGGTCATCTGGAGGGTGTTGGACACTTGATAGAAAGACCTGAGCTGGAAATGCAGATGTCATTATTTGTGAAAATGTTGCAAAACTTCTACCATGAGTCAGGAACACATAAAATCAAGATATGGCCCCAAGGGTTCTTTCTTTTTTCTTTTTGGTGTCCCCACTAGTTTCAAGTTCATGTTCACTGGGCAGTGAAGTCATCCTTTATGCTCTCCTGATTTCATCTTTCTCCTCTCTTTTCCCAGATCTAACTTCTTTCTCTTGGGCCCTGGTTCATGATGATATTCTAACTATTTGAGGAGGGGTGAATGGTTCAGGATGGATGGGTCTTCTCCAAGATGACTTTTAACATACCCTCTGTGTTATTATGTTTTAAATAAAGTTGCCATATTTACCTCATCAAGGCCCCTTCCTAGTATCCCAGCTTGAGTTGAACAGCCCTCCCTTAATGGGGGAGGTGTGAGCTTTTGGAAGAGGGCTCTGGAGGAGAAAATACCCACTCTACCTCCTAGGGATGGAAGTCTTCTGTTTGATGTGCCAACTGAAGGCTTGGAATTGGATGAGGTTTTTAACTGAGGATATTTTAAGAGACCACATGCTGGAGAAGACCAGTATTTAAGAAGTAAGAAGGAAATGTTGGAAACTAAAAAAAGTGTAGACACAATGATAGGAGAAACAGTGAGGAGGGGCTTCCCAGACTATAAGGGTGGTCAGAATGGCCCAGGACGATCTCCTGGTCTCCCTATCTGCCCTATGGAAGAGCATCTGAGCTCTTTGTGCGCATGGTTGGTTATCTGCCTGGCTACATGGTAAAAACTCCACTGCTCAACTGCTTCCTCGGAATATTCTGATTCAATTAATCTGAGGGGAGAATGTTGGAAGATTAGTATATTTCTTTTTTGGTGTGGCGAGGGTACTGGGAATTGAACTCGGGGGCACTTGACCCCTGAGCCACATCCCCAGCCCTATTTTGTATTTTATTTAGAGACAGAGTCTCACTGAGTTGCTTAGTGCCTCGCCGCTGCTGAGGCTGGCTTTGAACTTGCAATCCTCCTGTCTCAGCCTCCAGAGCCTCTGGGATTACAGGCATGCACCACTGTGCCTGGTTGGAAGATTGGTATATTTCTAAAGTTCTCCACTGCACTAGTTTTCTGGTTCCCTGGGTCCCTGGATAAGGAATAGGTAGTGGGAGATGGCCAAAGCTGTTTCATTTCTTTTTATCGTTGGGTCTCTCCACCATGAACATGGGACCTTTCCATGCTGGTCCAGCTGCACCTGCCGTAAAATTGGGCTCACTTTCTACTGTATTTTAGCATTTTCTGTCAGCACTTATCTTTTGGTATTAACAGTTTTTGTCTTTTCATTGTGTTTGTCATTTCCATGAGAATTAGACAGAGGCTGCTATTCTAATATTATCATTATCATTTTGCAGTGCTGCAGATCAAATGTAGGGCCTTTTACATCTTAGACAAATGTTCTACCACTGAGCAACATTCACAAGTTCCTTTTTTTTTTTTTTTTTTAGTTCATATGGTTTCTCTATTTTAACATCAATATCTTTAATCCATTTGAAATTGATTTTATTGGTAGAGTATTAGGTATAAGGCAAGAATCTAGCTCTTCTTTTCCTTCAAATAATCATCAACTGTCATAATACCACTTATTGAATAAGACTTCCTTTCCTTGTCCTTTGGGATAACAGTAATGATAGTGTGAGGGGGGAAGTGGCAACGGTATCCCATCCTGAAGAGTCTTTAGAAATAATTTAAAAATATGATTGAGGCCGGAGCCCTTGCTGGAAAATGACGGCGACCACTGCCACCATAGGGTGGTAGACCCCCCTGGGGTAGACCCCCCAGGGAAGCAGGAAGTAAATTACAAGGATGCTCATGGTTCAAGATTTTGGAGTAGAAATGAAATACTATGTTATTTGAGGGAATCTTTTCTTTCTATATGTATTTATATTTTACCTGCTACATGATGTCTGATTGAAAAAGAGTCACGTGCTTCATCTAGCAAGTTGGCTCATGAAAGGAACCCACTCTTCCCATGGCTCTTGCTGGAGCTTATGGTAGTGCAAATTGGACCTAGAGGACCCAGGACCACTGGGTGCAAGTGATCCAGCTGCTCAATGAAACCTGGGTGGCGACAGATGCCATTCACCCCTGGGGCACCACTCCTGAGACAGCACTTGCACTGGAGACCCTGTAATGCAAAGGTCAGCCTCAGTGGGTGGAGATTCAGAGACTTGAAGAGGAAACCTTAGGGGAAATGGTTTGAGAGCCAAAATTTGGGAGGGCCAGGTGATCAGTGGGGACAGGCAGGAGAGAGTCCTGCCCTTGTGAAGAACTTCAGCTTGGGTTTCTTTTTACTGGTGACTCCAGGAGTGCTTAAGTTACTTGGATTCTTAGCTTTTCCTCTTCCTACAATAATTTCAATCAGAGGTAATCCCACCCCTACAGCTAGTGAGGTAGGCTTAGACAAACCCACAGGGCAGGTTGGTAAGGAAAGGAAGTCTTCTCTCTGGTTCTACTGAAGGGGACCTCATCCTATGAAGTGGACTGTAATTTGGGGGTCTGTGTGGTAACAGGCAGTGTCCACGGGACAGCCAGGTGCGAAGGAGAAGGACTCAGGTATCAAGAAGTGTTCCAGGTCAAACTTATAAAATCCAAGTTCTCAGTCTTATAGAGTAAGGGAGATTCCTCTGAAAAAAGGAGAAAGTAGACAAGACATACGAAAACAGTTATATTTCCTGAGCCCAAACTGCAATGGACCAAGTAGGTACTAATTGCTCTGTGCATATTCAAAAATTTTTATTATGATAAAGTATGCATAACCCCAAATTTACTCTTGTTAACTATTTTTAAGTGTACAATTCAGTGGCACTAAGTATATCCACAATGTTGTGCAACAATCACCACTATCCATTTCCAGAGCATTTTCAACATCCCAGATGGAAATTCTATACTCATTAGCTAATAGACTTCCCCATTACCATCTCATTGAAGGCCTGCTA